CATATATATATATATATCTATATATATATATATATATATACATAAACTATATATATATAACTAAATAAGGTGTGGGGGCCCTCCATTTCAAAATTAATGTTGTGAATTTTGGAATTGCTATTTTACAATTACAGTATACAAAACTATGGAATTTGAAACTGTTTAATATTTTTTTTAAATTTTAACCATGCTAGTACAATAACATATCACTGGTACAGACATGCTACTGTATCATAATCATCAAAGATAACGTCAGTCTGAATGCAAGTACTATCTCGAAAGAAGCCTAAATTATCTTCGTTAGAAGCCAATGGGCTTCTTTTTGAAATGGACTTCTCAAAATTAAGCGCATGGGGCTTCTATTCAAGGTTTCACGATAGTACATATATAGTATGGCTCAAAAGCATATGCCTTACCGTGGTTGATTAACCAACCTATCTGCTTAATAATGTGTGAAATGTCCATTTGCTCAGATCAATCACGAATGATTTCTATCTGTATGCATTCTTGCACCATTTGCAATCAAGTCAATCTTTATTACTGGTATTATCACAGCACTGTTTCCTAAGCTCTGTCGACCATTAAATGTTATGACAAACAACTGTGACATGCCAGTATTTGGGTGTAATACAACATCATTATGCTCATATATGGGCATATCACACAAATTTGTCACATAATAGTGTGGCACATGGTAAAACCACAAAAACCAATTTGCATGAATTTGCATAAATGAGCAGTTAATACTGTAATCTCATGTATTCAAACATTCTGTATCATTGGCTTATCCTTTATAGAAAAACACACAAAAACAGTGCTAATTTGAATAAAACAGTATTACTGTAGTGAAAAAGAAAAATTTGACACAGAATATAAAATAAACCAGGAATCAAACACAGGACTACTTACATCGGGAACATCATACCCTTTTATCCCTTTTACATGCCCAACTTTACCGCGAAAATGCACATGAAATTCTCATGTGACTGGGATAGCTAGAAATGTATTTTAAAAAGAACTATTTTTTTAAAAGATATACTTGAAGATTAAAGATTTTTTTGTATATCAATATGTTTACAAATCATGAACTGAGTTAACATGCACTAGAACTTCTTGCGCAAGTATCAATCCTAAATTTTGAAATTCCTTTATACTAACCTAAAAATTTACACAATCATCATTTTCCTTAAAGTGTTAAACTAAAAAAATATATTTTTTAATGGTTCAAACATTCTTTCTAAATTTCCATTAATGCTCTAAACTGATTGTCTTTAATCTATTTTAATAATTACTATTACTTTTGTTCTCCTTGATCAGTGCATTAGGCTATGCAGGATATGGGATTTTTAAACAAGTACAGTATGTCGACTTTATTATAAGAACAATATTTGCAACACACATTTTCCCATTTCTACATGTGGGTATGAAGATTCAACTATGGATCAATAAAAATTTCAACTATTATTTATAAATAAATAAATAACTAAATATTTTTCAGGCAAAATGAATTTATACAGTATATACAAAATTATAAGAAACACTTTAAAACACAAATTACTTAAAAAATTAAAATTACAAAGTAGTTTTATCCTTTTTTCTGCAACAATTCTTCCAATGTTTGGAGCTTTGAATCTAGCTTATTTTGTTTGATTTGAAGGTCGTAGAGTCGGCCATTGATCTCTGTCAAACTTGGTTCTCTTGCTCCCCTAAAGACACCAAAGAACTTGTATGCCACAAACAATGTTGCAAATGTCATAGACAGCAGAACCAAATTGTTAGCAATCAGACTCACAAAATATCCAAATGTGCCTGAAAAAGGGAAGTAAATATGAACGCATCAATATGCTGCACTGTAAATTCCAAAAATGGAAATGGTGTGAGTATAATATTAATACTGTATACAGTAAACTACTGCGAGAATTGAACCAGCAACCTTTGAATTGTTCCGAGCTCTGCCAATTGTGCTACAGTAGAGCACACTCTTTGGTAATAGTTGTTCCCAGAAAATATTATCTAACAGCTAATAATATTTGATTTGAAATTAAAAGAGATAACCCCAGATGCCCAAGCAAAATTCACAGCGAAGGGTCAAATCTCTGGGGGCGGATGCAGGGGGTGCGATCGCACCCCCTAAATTGTATTAAGAAAAATAATTGTTTTATTGTATTTTTGATTTCCATCATTATGAACATGGTACTGGTAAGATTTTTTAAGTATGAGAGTGTAATTTCCGGACACCTACAGTAGAGCCCCAACCACAGTGGGGCTGAGGTGGTCTGGACTCTGACATACCCCCTATGGCCAAATCCTACATCCGCCCCAGAACCTCCAACCTCAACCGAATTTTTAACCTTTAACTAACTGCTCCCACAACTGTATGCCAATAAAACTATGTTACCTATGGTTAGGATGAATTGCATCATACTCCAGACTGGGCCATATATGGCATGAAGAACCAAACTAGCACACATCATAAACAGGGTAGAAGATCCACTCAGTACTTTGCTCAACAATACTCCAGATATAATCCAGCAAACCAGAAGGCTAGATTCAAGTATTGATCGATCCAGTGACTTGAGGAATTCTTCAAGATGTGAGACTGACCAAAAAAGACAATAATTATACAATTTATTCAAGTAACAATATTTCACAAGGGTGGGAGACCTAAACAGGATGAGATTATTAGGAGGGCCCTCAATACAAGATTTTAAAATCTAATTTAAAAAAATAATAAATAGAAGTCAGTCTTCAAAATAAAATATTGTTCTAAAATTCAAGAAAACCTGTTTCAGTCTAGTTTTTGAAAGTGTATATGGGCTAGCATTTCTTAAATACTAAAAAAAAAGGGTTAAAACAAATGTAGGTTCATAACAAAAATGTTTGTATTTTTCTATATATTTATATGTATTATAAGACATCCTGTAATTGGCTTCCGCTGTTGGAAGATTTTCGAAATTTAAAAAAAAAAATAATGTTTTGCATAATTGGTTTCACAGGAATAAATTGTGCATATGGTAGCATATTTCATATATGGCACTCATAAGAAATAATTTGTGAATATATGGCACTGATGGCACAGACAGCATTGCGAGCACAATCAGAATGTGGTTATGTGGCACTAGACATTTTGCATATAGTAAACAATTTAATAAAAATTTATTTACATGAAACGTTATGGAGAATATAGTAGTGGTAAAAGATGCTTAGGGATGAGTAATGGTATAATCTTGTCAAATAAATATCTTCCTCATAACTAAAAACACAGCCACTTCATAAAGGCACACCAAGGAGGAAAATTGAGATTTAATTTTGAGTGTCAGCCATCAGAAGGTGAGTTAGACCTGATAAGACATAATATTTATATCTCCTTCAGCCCCAATCGTACGTGGGTGCATGGTAGTCTTGGCCCTCAATCTATAAAATTCTCTTCCTAGAACCCTTCTATTTCAAATTCCTAGATCCAACACTACTTCCTAAGCCTCATAATGAGACATACAGTAACATAGGTACTGTAGAACATCACGTATACTCTGTTAATTATTAATAATATTAATCTAGTAATTTCTACATTCTAATCATTTGAGATGTTGTTGTTGCTGACAGCAACAGAAACTGCATTGCATATTAATTCTGATTGCAACTTTTGTTAAATTTTCACATCAAAGTAATTCAAATTTCTTTGAACTAGAAAAGTAGATTACTTACACTTCAGTAAATAAAATAACTTAAGATTACGCAACCCACACTGTAAAGTAAGGCAGGGGTGGCGGCAGCATTTGTCCAACGCAGTTCTGTATTTCTCATTTTTTTTATTCTTTTGCGTAAAACTAAAATTTATGCCAATATTTTTCCATTGTTTATAATAAATAGAGTAATGCATATGCATTTTTTCTTTTAAAAAAATATTTTATAGTGTAATTTTGCACTTTAAGCCCCTAGTCACCCAACCCCCATTGCTGGCGCAGCCACTGGTTATATCATGCCATTGCTTAAAATAAATGTGAATTAAAACTTGACACAAACTTCCAATTCCAATTGATGACTTCAAGTATTTGGTGATAAAATTTTGAATTTCCAATCCAAGCTTCCCATTCTGTACCAAATTAACAACCTTTATAGTTTTCTTTTCAGCAGCTCCCCATTTCTGAAAAAATATAAATTAAAATGATGAAAAATATTGTTGTGTAGCCATTGTTTGTAGCCTAGCTACTACTACTATCTAGGGGCCTAGTAGTAGGGGCCTAGCCTCTTGGCCCTTGCCTTGCCTTCTTTGCCCTAGTACCGGCCTAGCCTACTACTTCCTAGCTAGGGCCGCCTACCGTTTTACTACCAACCACTCTAGGCCTAGGACCTAGGCCTAGCCTAGGCCTGGACCATTATTAGGCCTAGGCCTAGACACACTAACTTTCTTACCGTTTGCGTTCGCTTAAGAAAATCAGATTGACGAATTGTAGTAATTTTTTGAGAAATGCCTTCAGATAGATCATTTAAAAATGAACAGTCAGCATCTTCTAAAAACAGGGTAAACAAACAAAGAACAGTTAAGGAAAATGCAAGAATTTTGACAGCCATATTTATTGAGCAAACGAGAGACGATTCTCTCTGCTGTACACACAGTATAATTAATTGTTGTACTGTATGGAACGCCGTTACTGCCTTTGGTGGCTCTCCGTTCGGCGCATTTGCTATTCGGCCCTTTTAACATACGTTCGGTGCTTTTTACATTACGGTCGGTGCTTTTTACATTACGTTCGGTGCTTTTAACATTACGTTCGGTGCTTTTACATTACGTTCGGTGCTTTTAACATTACGTTCGGTGCTTTTAACATTACCTTTCGGCCCTTTCATCATTACGTACGGTTCTTTTACATTACGTTCGGTGCTTTTAACATTACGTTCGGTGCTTTTAACATTACCTTTCGGCCCTTTCATCATTACGTACGGTTCTTTTATCATTCGGTGCTTTCATGACCTTTGACATCGGGTCAAGTGGAAAAAATCAATGGCTGTGGGAATGAGCCTAGTGGAAAATCGCGCGTAACAAAGCATATTCGACATGTGATTATCTTAGTGATAAAATTAATAACTAACGAAAACAAAAATGTCTCGATCAATCAAAACAGTAATAGAAGACCCGGATCTACATTTTCTTGTCCCTAAGTTTGAAAGGGAAAGGGTACGTTCTAGTTTTTTTCCACATGATTTTGGTGGTATTTTAGGGCAAATAGAAATATAAGATTATCACGACCTAGTATTGAAAACAAAAATAACTAGGAGGGACTCTTCTTTATTCCGGATTCAAAGGTCATGAAAGCACCGAATGATAAAAGAACCGTACGTAATGATGAAAGGGCCGAAAGGTAAAACTGAAAAGCACCAAATGATAAAAGATCCGTAAGTGTGGCAAAAGCACCGAACGTAATGATAAAAGCACCGAACGTAATGTTTCAAAGCACCGAATGTAATGTTAATAAAAGCACCGAACGTAATGTATAAAGCATCGAACGTAATATAAAAGCACCGAACGTAATGTAAAAAGCACCGAACGTAATGTAAAAAGCACCGAACGTAATGTTGAAAGCACCGAACGTAATGTGAAAAGTATATACTCAAATGCTCGTCCTCGGCACCTTATGCCAACATTGTCAAAATGACAGATTAATGTTACATAAGAACATGAAATTTTATAAAATTCGTAAATTTTGAATTGCTATAACTTTTCATTTTCCTGGTCAATTTTTACAAATTAAATTGCAGTTTACAGAAGCATTTAACAAGCTCGCGGGAAAAAAAATCAAATGTAACAGACATTGCGAAGTACCCAAAATTAATAAAATAAAAACTAACACCATAAAACGAATGGCACGCATAGACTAATAATTGACGGCTGTACTCGCAACTAGTATCGGATTGTCGATGCCACAGTAAAGATCAAAGGACTGTACGCACGCGCTATGTTCGAGAGCGGAGATGTGCGTCCTTTTGTTGAATTACCTTGATATAACAACTATAATAAACATTTAGCACGATAACTAGGGCATTCAATTTTCAGTGCTGTAACATACTGTAGCAAATATTTCCAAAATCATCTCCATCACACTTTTTTGTGACGGAGATGATGATATACAAATAGATGTGAATCTTAGTAAATTTGAAAGATAAATTGTATTATTTAAATATAGGATAATACACAATGAACAAACAGGTTTCGAACAACGTAAGTCGTATCAATTACCATTTTTATTTTATAGCCGTTTTTGAGAAAAGAAAACATCAAGAAATCATCTCCATCACACTTTTTGTGACGGAGATGATGATATACTCATAAATGTGAATCCTAGTAAATTTAAAAGATAAATTGTATTATTTAAATATAGGATAATAAACATTGAGTAAAAAGGTTTCTAGCAACATAAACCAGATCAGTTATCATTTTTATTTTATATTCGTTTTTGAGGAAAGAAAACATCAAGAAGTCATCTCCATCACAGTAAAGTTGTGATGGAGATGACTGTGACGGAGATGAGGAATTAAAATTCTTAGATCATATAGTGCCATATGCAGTGTGTTACAGGGTGAATGTCATGTGCACTTTGAAAATGACACAGTTCTGATCGTATATATATTTTTTTTTCTAAAAAAATAATAAATAAAGCATACTCTGAAGCGTTCGGAGATGATGCTGAATAAAGGTACTTTTCTGGTTGTATTAGAATTGCATGAATTCCTCAGCTATAGGTTGTTAAACTGTACAAGAATGGACTGTTTCTTACTGTATGGTCCCCATAGCATTTTAAAGTATTGTGACGGAGATGACGACAATTCAGGGACAAACTTTTTTAGTCTAAAAAAGTCAAATTTTAAGTATTTATATCTATTGATGTCATTTTTAATTTTACATTTGTAAGACATCTATTGTATTCACCTTTTTGTGGTATAGTTATTTATTTAAGTTATTTATTTTACAAATTATGACATTAGGAATTCTTAAGAAACCCAAACGGGACATGCATAGTGCGCAACTTTGGAGGCTTTTTGTTGCAAAATAAACAGCATGTCGATTACGTTTAAAATATTTAACAACTTATTCCATTAACAAATATGTTCAAGATTGCATTAACGCAAAAAAAATAAAATTTCCTTTAATATTTTAAAATTTATACTACATTAAAACAGAGGGACTGGAAAATGGCCCATTAGCGAAGAATGACCCATCTACTGTATTTCACTAGGCCTACTATATTCCATGCCATATTCCTCTCCTGAACCTCACAATATAGTTCAACCTTGTTTAATTTCCATGTGTATATTATATTGTTATATTCATATCTAATATTATATCTGTTAATTGTTGTCTTGTATATTATAGTGATGTTTTCGATTTCTACTGTTTCTCGTATATACTGTATGTATATGACGAAAATAAATCTTGAATCTTGAATCTTAATATGTTAATTTTGGTTTTTTGATAAAAAAAAAAAAAAATCTTTTTTGCACCTGCCCCTCCTATACAATTTTCAGCATTAAAAGGTAAACAAACAATTTATTTGTTAGGCCTTATGGTCGACTTACCTCTATGCGCTTAAAATTATCTATTACACCCAGTCATTGGATAATTTTCAGAGATCAATTATTATTATTATTATTTTTTTTTTTTAGTTCACAATGTGTGTGGCCCTTCCGAAGAGATGATATTTTTAGGGACGCTCACTTAAAAACGATACTCCATACTTTTATACATTTATTAATTTATAGCCTACTGGTCTATTTATGTCACTTTGGACACTTTCAAACTTCACAGCACGTGTTCACATGCTCTCTCATTGGCAACATCCGTTGGACTCTAATTAATAAAGTAGATGCAATGGTGGGGTGAGCAAGTACTGTACTTATTTGATTGATGATAAAGATGATAATGATGATTAGATGATGATGATGCTTGTTGATGGATGAACCTTCCCACGCCAATGGTGACAAATGCTTCTACCTGTTTAATTAACCATCTTTCAATTACTCTAATATAACTTCTTTTGTTTATTTTTCTGTAGACTAACGTTATACACCTTTGATTGGGCGGATGGAATTAGCTCCTAATTATCATGACGATATGACACTAAAACAAACAACAGGCATGTCTTATGTAGCATGGCATCACATCACATAGCTTTCTTCAGCCTACGACACCATCTCCGAAACCAAACTAAATGGCTCTTTTGTTGGTTAAAGCTTTGGCTATACGGTTTACTGTAATCAAGAAGGTATATATCAAAAAAATTACCTCCGTGGTTTAATTCAACCCCCTCCGCCGCTGGCTAACTCCATAGCAAATATTTTGATCCGGCCCGTGCGCAATATTTCCCCCCACCCCATTCAGTTAAGGTAGAAATTATAGAGGGCGCTATTTAAGGTCATTTAAGTGAACTGACAACATGATAAATATGCACGTTTGACTTTCCCCTCACTGTTACCTGGAATACCCTTGCTCTATGGTATCGCCAGATACCATACTCAATGGCTGATTTTTTTATTTATTTAATTTTGTTTTTCAATGTACGCAATAAATACTACTATCAAACAAACTAACAATAAAACGCCACCTATAGCATTCCTTCATGTTCCAAACCTGGTGGTTCTATCGCCGTCTCAGAGCTAGCTAGATCACCATGTGCTAGCATAGAGTACAGTATACTCTGGTGCTAGGTGCCGCCGCCAGAGCAAGATAGGAACGAGTCGATTTAATGTTGGGAAATCATTATTAATAAAAAAGTGGTAAAATTATATATTTGAATAATAATATACTAAATTACTACATGACAAAGCTAGTATTAGTTATTATTATATTTTAAATTAGTCAAAAGGTACAATACATAACATTTTGTATACACAATATCGTTCATAAATTGTTAGAAGTTGTTTTTACCCTTTTAAGAAATCGTATAGGCCTAGGCCTAGTTGTTGTCGTTGATTTGGGAATTCTTTAAATCTGTCATGTTCTAAATTTAGATGTGGGAATTTTGTGTTGAAAACTGCTGGTGGTTTTTGACGATTTTGAATAATTTACACACTAATTTAGTTCAGACTTAAAGTATCGTATCACTATCAGTAAGTAATGAGGTTAGGGTTTAGAATCCCATTTTAAGAATGTGACAGACAAGAGAAGAGAGTGTGCCAAATTTCCACATGTTTGATGGAGGGCCACTGCTTCGTCAGTTTAGTTGGTCAGGACATGGGATTTTGGGTGGGTGTGTATATAGGCCTAGTCCTACCTACTAGGCTAGACTTTCCTAGGCTCCTGTATAGGCTAGCTCACTGGAGACCCAGTTTCTATGAATACTTAGTAAACCAACTAGGCGTAGGCTATTAATATTAATACACCTCATTCATAGCTGTAATTTAAGGTCACATAAAAAAAATTATTAGCTTCACTCTTTTAAAAAATAAAATTGATGTTTTGTGTTTGATGTTTGGAGTGGTTGGGGAGGGATTATACCCGGGAATTCCCGTGTGCGTGAACAGAACGAACATGGCATCGTTTTTGGAAGTGGCAGTGCATTAAAACAACTGTCCTGTGATTCAATGGCTTATCCAAAACTAGGCCTATATTCCGGTGAAAATTCAGACATTTACTTGAGCATCAAAGGGAAGGGAACACCCTAATTATAGCTATATAGTACGCATAGGCGCCTAGACTTTGAATGAGCTTTGCATTTTAAACTTTACGGCGATCCCAATGTCTGATCTACTCAATTGGAAGAGTTTGAAGTCTGCTGAATTTGGAGCTAATTCCTTTATATTTTGTGAGCATTTTTTTTTTGCAAAGTTGTTTTTATGTACAGTTAAAATTAATGATGCAACAAAAATAAATAAAAAAAATTAATCATTCCTGCATCAATATTCCCCAAAATTTTTGACACGGACGGAAGTGATAGTCTAATAAATTTTTTTATTTGCCCTAAGCCTCGAGCCTTACATGACAAAATCCAAGAAGTTGGCAACTAGGCCTAGCTCAGTAATTAGGCCTAGGCTCTAGTTTAGTTAAATAATTAAAATAAGGTTAAAAAAAGTCATTACCTTTTTTATTAGGTGCCTATCCTAAGTCTAGCTACTTACCGGTAGTTGAATTTGATTAAATTCGGCCCCACATACAATTACTAGTCAACTCTGCCCATCATAGAGCAAAAAAACTTCTGCCCCAGTCAATTTGGCTCCAAGTCAACTCATCTTCAGAATTTTTTTTCATCTTATTTCATTTTCTCTCATTTGACAAGAACCGTTTCATTGGCCGTATTCGACTGGTTCGTTTGTTGACAATGATATTTCGTTGAGTATTTTCTTCATTCAACTGGTTCGTAAAATGACTTCATTGACTACGGAAATTAATGTAAACCAGGTGCGTTAATTTGCAATAAGTTATCCACTTGTCCAAAATAGACTTGGGGCGACTGGTCATTTTAGCAACAACATTTGCATTAATATAATTTAGATTAAATTTCAGAAAATAATAATAATAATATTTACCCACATAAATTCAAAAAATAATTGTAGGCTAACAGAATTCAATAAACTGCATGGAAACATTTATTTTACGAAAAACCCATACTACCACAAGCTGAAGCATCCTCAATTTTGCTAGCGTGTATTGCTACAAAAACCATTTTGTTTTGTTGAATACTTACCAGTGTTCTATTTGTACCACTATGCAGACGGGCGTGGTTTAGCAAAGAACGATCAGTGGAATACAGCCAATGACGACAAAAAAAAAATCAACTGAATCCGACTATATTGTGGGTCTTATAACATTCAAACAGCAATAAGTACAGAAAAAAAAACATTTTAAAAAACAAGAAAATGATGATAATAAAAAGAAACTTCTATTTATTAACACTTCTTATTTGTCAAGCACATGAGTTCTGTAAAAGACACTATGGGACATGAGTTGTGGGTCTTGCGATTAGACCCCAATGAGTCTTGGATGGGTCTGGGAAGAAATAAACTGAATTTTACCTACCTAGGTTTCTGAAAGTGCCAAGTTATAAAGTGGGTCCAACTCTGTTTCAGTGAAAAATCAACCCATAAACTACTCAAAAAATATTTCTCAAGGCCACTCAGTTCATGTGATAATTACATTTCTTTTTTTCTTTTTTTTTTTATCAAGAAATGAATATTGAGGATGCCTACAAGTGTGACCAAATTAAGGTAGGTTCTTGTGCTGTTAATATGAATACGCATTTTAATAGTATACTGTACAAGTAATTATTTGCCTATACAGTATACCTATTTTAGGAAAATTCTACAGTGATTTTTTTAAATTGTTTTAGAATGCTGGCCCTCTGAATTTTGTTGCCCATTTTACTCACCTCTTTTTTGGAACTCATCTTCTAAAGCCGGATTTCCACTAGGTGAATTTATTCACGTGAATCAAAGCGTTGGTTCGCTTCCTGAGCTCTGATTGGTTGCGCAATTTTTCGCTTAGAAAAGCTCCGACCGGAATGTGAATGCGCATGAGCATGAACCGACGCTTTCGATTCGCGCGAATAAATTCGCCTAGTGGAAAAGAGGCTTAAGTGTACAGTAATGTAACATTGTTGCCACTTTTGCATTTATTAAAATTGTTATTTGGCACAGATTGCTCAGCAGCGGGATCTGCTTCTTCACCGACTGCATGTGCAAGAAACAGCAAGACCATCGCACCATGATCCACTGAATAAGATTAAGGTGATCCATTCTAAAGTAGAGGCAGCAGCTGGTGATCATATTGCAGGACCTGGTGTCAACCCCATCATTGGACAAGCCCTGCCAAAGAAAGTTCCTAAATATTTGATCCATGATTTTTTGACAGGGGCTAAAAATCCCACCCAGTGTCTACATGAGTTTTGTTCTCTTCAGCGGCTAACTATAAAATTTCAAGAGGCCCCTGCACCCATGTCTGCATATTGTATTACACAGTTTGGCTCCATGGCTATAATAAATGGAGTTTCACATGAAACTGGTGTTGGTAAATCTAAGAAAGAAGCTAAAAATGATGCCTCCAGAAAGACATTGACAGCTCTTCTGGGCCTAACTACTGATGATCTTCATGACAAAACTAAAAATCATGAGGTAATGTTTGATTGCCATGGACGAAAAGTCTATGTGATGAAAGACGATCTCGACTTAGAGAATCCCTTTGCGGCAGAGCAAGATTTAGTTGCAAGTAGTGGTGGCCATTTTCAGATGAACTTCAATGAGAATGTGGCATTACCATCAGAAGAGATGTGGAGGTTACCAAGTAAAGAAAACTATGCGGATTTTCAAATAAAGAGGGAAGCAGAAACAAAATTGCAACCACAGAAACCCATACAAGTAAATAATGGACAAGCAATGCCAGCATATGGACAACACCCCTCTGGTGTACCAACTGTAACAAATGGTAATGCACAAGATGTGAGACCAAAACAGCAGGGGGAACCAAGTGATATGCTGCCTGCTTTACTGAATGCAGAATCCAACATAATAGGGGGTCCAACAGAAGATGATGAAATTGCTGGTGTTGCAAAGGCCAATCCCAAGGTAGGAAAACCATTCCCAGGCTGCCAAGTTCTAAATTCCAAGAGGAGCTACTGTGCTATCATAATGAAGAGTGGTAAGTGAAGTATGTTTTTTTTTAAAAGTGAAGGTGCTTATGTGGAGATCGTATTTTGACTTCTAAGCATTTTCTATTATTTATATCTTCTTTAAATAAACTTGAGGTAGCACCTTTTTAAAATCATGTGACTTGTGATTACTTTAGAGTGATTGGTGTATATTTATTACTGTAGGACTTAAGAAGTCTTAATGTTAGAATGCTCTATCAAAGAATGATTAAGTTGTATAAGAACTATTCTTTAATTAAAACCTGTTCCTGTTTATTCAAGATGGTCACAGGTATAATCAAAAGAATAAGAAATATTTCAATAATTATATGGCATTATTCTTTCAATGTATTTTTTTTTAGGGGCTGATGACCCAGGTCGTATCATATGCTTAGGAACAGGTCATTCTTCGGTCGAGGGCAGACATCTGAAAAAAGATGGCCGTGTAAACATTGACAACTTTGGATTGACAATTACAAGAAGATCTTTCTTGAGGTCAGTTTCGATGGATATAAATTTTGTTTACAGCTGAAATTTAAAATAGAGATTCTGTATTACAAAAAAATGTTTAAAAAAAAATTCCATTTAACTTTGTATTGTATAAATGACAAAAATTCTTTTTTGTAAAAGCTAGTAAAGAAACGGAGTGCTTATTCGGGACGTTTCGATCTCTAACAGATATCTCTATCAATTGACTGCTAGACGGAATTGCAATTTGATCATGAAGTCATCTGTTGATTTATTTACATAATCACCTGGCCGGGCCCCGCACAATCTCCAACCTACAGATGACGTCATGACCAAGCTACAATTCCATCTAGCAGTCAGTTGATAAAGATCTCTGTTAGAGATTGAAACGTCCTGAGTGAGTACTCCGTTTCTAACTAGCTTTTACAAAAAAAGAATTTTTGTCATCTAAAAAAAAATGTTACTTAAGATTTAGTGAATCAATTTTAGATTGTATTTTTAGTATTGTTGCATTTTTATGGTGGCACAAGCAAAGAATTTACCAAAATTTGATAAATATTAAATTTTAATCTTATTTCATTTTAGTTTAAATTCACCTTAATAAAAAAAATGTACAGGAGGTGCACTGAACAAGACTAAAAATGTAAAAGTAATATTATCAACTAACTGAACTGAGGAATAAGTCATGAAAGGTTAAAACTATGCTTGTTTGTGTTGTCCTCAAATAATCCTCTAGTATGGAGAAGAATACAACTGCAAAAAATTACATACAGTTTTTACAATGTACTTCGTATAGATGTAATGTAACAATGGGATTTATATTCTTCCAGTGTATTACAATGTTTGTGAAGGAAGTGAGAGTCCAATCTTTTATGCATTTGTAATAATACTGTAGGTATTCAACTTGCCATGAGGAAAATAATAGCTCTTTGTTTGTCTGGTATGATTTTTATGAGTATATCAGATGTATGGCAATTAAGTCAGATGAAGACAGACAATTATTATTTTGGTGGTATTAGATTAAAAAAATAGCCATTCAGCATATTTATACCTGATTTTATGACTGATAGTTAAGTGTTCCTTATTTGTATTCAAAAAAATTCACCATTATTGTAACAATATAAAATACATGTAACAACATTTTATGCTAATTAATGTAGAACTGTAGTACCCCTTCTATAATCCCACCCCCCATGAATGCAAAATTGCCCGACTTTGTTGGTTGGGATTATACCCAATGATTCATGAGAATGAAAATGATGATTGTTTTGCTAAGTGGCATGCATTTAAACAATTGCCCTATGTTCAAGGGCCTATCCATAACAATATTCCGGTGAAGAAATCAGACTTTACTCGAGCATCAAAGGAAAGGGAACACCTTAATTGTAGTTAGTAGGCCTACAAAAGGTGCCTATCTAGCTATGTCATCTTTGTCTTACCTAGCGCTAGGCCAGCCTTTGCCCAACTTTTTTTTCTTGATGTCGCCCACTTGATAATGCATGATGTAACAAGTTATTTTTAGCAGCAAATCTCTGTTGAACACCTGAGTCTTCATGCTGTGAATTAACGACCTGATCAGCCCACTGGGCAGGTCTCTTTTAGGGACCGACCGCGGTGTTGTCTATTTTTAGCGAGCTGTTTATTTTTAGTGAGAGTAAACAACAAAAGAATTTACAAGGATGGGCTTTGTATACAACTTTACGGCGACTAATGTCTGGTATAATCAATTGGGAAAGTTTCAAGCGGTGGAATTCGGAGCCAATTCCTTTATTTTTTGTGAGCATTTGTTGAATTTACCAACCTAGTAGCCAAAATTTTACCCTGGGACTTTGCCTGGGGAAATTCTTGTACGTGAAGTTGGGTGTAAAGTCGGGGGTGGGATTATACCCAAGGAACTACGGTATATGTTTCTAAATAGTTAAAAGCTAAAATATTCTCAATTTTCTTTTCTTAGGTTTTTATATCGGGAATTAAAAGCCTTTATGGAGAAATCGCCAACAGATTCCATATTTGAACATGTACCAGGCTCTCATTTACTCTCACTCAAGGATGGAATAACCTTTCACCTCTACATGAATTCTGCTCCAAATGGTGATGCAACACATTTTGTCAAGCCGTAAGTAAATGCTGCATTCCATGTACACTATCTGTTTATGATATCCCAAAGCATTTCAAACACAACAATGTCAATTTTGATATTATAATTTTGTAGGTTAGATGATTTCTCGAATTTGTAATCAGAGCAGTTTATTTGAGTTAAACTTGGCACATTGTGCAACAAAACTTGTTTGTTGTTTTGTTTTATTGCAACCTGTTGTTAAGTTAAAATATGGTAATTAATTTTGTATATCAGAGTGTAAGTATTATTTAGACAAAATTCCTTTCAACTTTCAGGATTGAAAACTTACCAATTGCCAGTGCGGAAGATCTGAATTTAATGAGTACGGGAGAACACATACCAAAAATGGATGTAGATACACCCCAGGGAAGATTATCGCTGAAGACAAATGCAGGTAAATGCAAAAGGAAAAATCAAGATACATTAGCCAGCCATACTCTATTTTGTCCAAGCATTTCTAACATGGCTATTTTCTTTTTGCCTCTCCATATTTTTTTGCAGGACATGTTTTGGATGTGGACAAAATTAAAGGGAAAGTTCAAATGAAATTTGAATCTCTCATGCAACAGGTAAGGAATATATAGTCATTTCTAATACTTGAAGAAGAACATGGTATTTTTATAGGTTGAATAGAATATTTGTTTTTCATTTGATTCCATGTAAGAAATGGAAAGTGAACACTTGCTAACTTATTGATTAGAAATAATAATAATAATAATAATTATTATTATTATAGTATTTACTTAGACACATGCATGCACCAAGAATTGCCAATAGCGAATAAATTACTGTCTTTGTGTAGGTGACATCACTTTTGCACGACAAACATACATACATTATGTTCTATACAAGCTAAATTTCATACGAGGCTCATGGAGTGGGGTTGTTTTGGTCATAGGAAAAATCCTGAAACATTGACAGGAATTGAACCCAGGACCCAGGGATTAGAAGGCAAGCACCTTAACGACCAAGCTATCCAATTCCACTCCAAAACGTATTTTGTTAAATTTGAAACTGGGAGAGCAAGTTTGTGTGTTCTTATTTATGTTTATGTGTGTGAAGGTGTATGTGTATATGTGGTAAGGGTTACAGTACTTTAGTTTTCTGTGTAAAAATAAGTCTTCTAACAGTGTGTTCCATTACAGTATCTGTTTTCCAGTGGTATATGCATGTTGTATAACAAAAATTCTATTTTTTTCTCTATGCTCAATTACATAATGACATAATAGATGTGTGTTTTAAGATATGGTATTAATTTCTTTCCTAGGCTCAGTTGCCATTAATGAGTGACTCGGATAAGCTTTTGTGTTGGAATGTTGTGGGGCTACAAGGGGCATTGCTAAGCTACTTCATCAAGCCAGTTTATTTGATGTCTCTAACTGTTGGTAACTATTACCCTATTTTTTCCATTATTTCTTTTTCATAATCATCCCTCTGAACAGAGGCAGCACCAGGAATTCCCCAACAAAGAATCCATGCTCCCTGTTGGGGGTTAGCCTAGCACCCCCCCCGTTGGGAAAAATATTAAATTTGTCAGGGAAATTGTGTTATGAACAGATAATACAATGTGTTAATTATAGGATTCTTTATTTAAAAAGGATGTCGGGGTACTAGTTGGAGGTGTCAGCCCCCTGTCGGGGAGGAGCTGGCGCACAACTGCACCCATACAATTGCAATAGTATACAACACCTCGAACATATGGTAGCACTGCTCGCACTAACAATTTTTAATCCCTAAAATTTTGACAGCTTAGTAAAAAAGGCATGCTTGAATTGTACTTTCAGCACTTGATTTTTCTCCGACAACCTTGCTGGAAATTCCATGACCGGGGGTTCAAGCAGGGGGGATACAGAGGTTCCCGAGGGGGTCCTTAGGTCCCCTGGACCCACGCTAGCACCGACCCTTCCTCTGAACCACCCAGCTTCTGCATTCTGAAATAGTAGATTCATTAAACTAACATAATCATATATTTTGCTACAGGGAACCTTTTCCATCATGGCCATCTATCCAGGGCCATGTGTTGTCGATTACCAGATGATTTTCAACAAAGTTTAACTCCTGAGTATTTTATAAACCATCTCCTGATTGGCCGAGTTACTACTTACACGCCCAATCAGGATGATTTTCAAGAGTTTACTAGTGTCAACTGGAGTTTAGGAGATGCTCAGTATGAAGTGATTGACACGAAGACTGGCTGCTGTACTGATTAGTAAGTTAACAGAAAGGTGTACCAAAGGGTGAAATTGGTAGTAAGGTACAGTGTGGTAGTATGATGTATATGGTATGGTACATATGGTCTCAAAAGGTGGAAAGTTATGGTGTGCTATTTATGGTATGATGTGTATTGTATGGTTTGCTGTATGTGTGGTGTGGTGTGGTATGGAAGGGTGGTTGTATAATGTATGGAAACAATATCTATGAAGTAAAATTTATTATAAAGATTGATCAATAAATACTAAAACATCTTTATGATTTTTGAAGATGAAGAAAAACTTGTGTATTTTCGTTAATAATTGAACTAAAAATCTGGATTGGATTCCTGGCAATTTTACTACAAAGTCACAATTAATCCAATATAAAATTGTTGCATTTTTAACTGTTTGATATGTTCATTTCTTCCAGTTCACCATTTCGTAGTTCATCATCTGGGGCAAGTAGGCTATGTAAAGCAGCATTTTTTAGTAGATTCAAGTCAGTTTGTCAAGCTCTTAAACGAGAGGATTTGGTCCATATTAGTAACTATCATAATGCCAAGGTAGGTTATGTTTGAAAAATTAATAAGGCAACACTTTACTACATTACAGTTGTAGGTGAGAAGCTCTGTTCCGCAATATCAAGTTTCACGTGACAAACTAGAAAGATTAAACAAGAACTTACCTATTTGAAGTTTGATCTTTATTTTATGAATAAAGGTGAGCAATATATAATCTCAGAATGCTCATAAGAACTGAAATCCCTAACAGATGCGCGGATCATTATTTAAAATTCCGGCAAGAGTTTAAAAGGCTAATGGGAACATATACAAGATCAAATTTTTAAGATAAAGGTCAAACAAGCAAGGGTGAGGAGGGAAGTTTACATCTTACTGACCCTATACAATGTATATAAAATAAGGATCAAACTTCAGACAGGTAAATTCTCGTTTAATCTTTTTATTTTATTTCATAATACGTTCACTGTAAACTTAGACCTTTAAAGCCCTTCTGGCTCATGACAAACATGTTAGGACACAATTTTAACTTTTCAACATTTTAATTTTAATTTGAAACTTCTTTAAACCCATACAGCAAAAGATAAATCTGATATAACACATTGCACAGTAGTGTAAACACTGACGCGGGAGGCCCAAGATAGAGAAGAGGCTCAACAAAAGCTGCCCCACTTTTGTGTTGGGCCTTTGGCCCATGGTTTCCTGTCAGACATTTGTATAACGTTGAATTTGTAATAAATCAATCGATCAACAGTTATTTGTATTTTGAATTCTGCTGACAGTTTAGTAATGCAAGTAGAGGCAAGTGAAATCAGGATTCCCCGACGGGGGGAAGGGGCCCCAAGGTCCACGACGGTGGGGGGCATCACCCCTGCTTGTGAATGGACCTTTCCACTAATTTCTGCTACTTGTCCCTGATTTACCAAGGTCCCATAAAACAACAGCGTAAACATGAATACAAATCTATGGGATAACAAGTGCGTTTGGTTCTTTTATGTTTTTATATTTTTATATTCAATAAATTTCAAAAAGTGTATGTAATCTGTTTCAACTTGAATCTTGTGAATCTCTCTTTCAGAGTGGCTGTGAGGACTACAACAAAAGTAAGGCAGCGTTGCTGGACTACTTGGAACAGAACAATCTAGGAAAGTGGGTAAAGTTGCCCACAGAACTAAGTGTTTTTAACAAGTGAGATATTTTAAGCATTTATCCCAGTATTGACTTGCAACTTTTGGGGCTGGTTGGCCCCCCTTAAAATACAACAATTTAAGGGTTTCAAAAGGCTTATTCAATCGATTTTAGAGTATTTATTAATACAGTATGTACAAAATACATATAATTTTTTTGAATTTTTTTTCTCCTCGATGAGGGCCCCCTCCCCGTAGTGCTGCCACTGGGCAACTGAAGTCCAGCATCACCCCTGCTTGTGAATGGACCTTTCCACTAATTTCTGCTACTTGTCCCTGATTTACCAAGGTCCCATAAAACAACAGCGTAAACATGAATACAAATCTATGGGATAACAAGTGCGTTTGGTTCTTTTATGTTTTTATATTTTTATATTCAATAAATTTCAAAAAGTGTATGTAATCTGTTTCAACTTGAATCTTGTGAATCTCTCTTTCAGAGTGGCTGTGAGGACTACAACAAAAGTAAGGCAGCGTTGCTGGACTACTTGGAACAGAACAATCTAGGAAAGTGGGTAAAGTTGCCCACAGAACTAAGTGTTTTTAACAAGTGAGATATTTTAAGCATTTATCCCAGTATTGACTTGCAACTTTTCTATTACCATTTTATAAATATTTTTGAACCATATTGCAGTAGTTTATTCAGAACAAGAAAGCTTTTATGTAAAAATAATAGATGGAACTGGTATTCGTCTTGCTATGCATATTAAGATTGTAATCATCCTGAGTTCAGTGCTTGTGATTGGATGTGATGTAACACTTGACACCATATCTGTATCAAAAGTATTGAACTGTTTGATTAATGTATATGCTGGACTGTATAAAGTTGTTTCAGTGATGTTATACTGAACAAAGGATAAGTAATGAGTAGTATAGTACAAGTACATTTGATCACACGGTTAACAGTGACATGAAAGAATTTCTCTGTGAATCATTTTTTACTGACAGTTTGAGATTATCATGGATGGCACCTTTACATTAGGCTTCTCATTAGTTCCTGTACATATTCTATTCAGAAAGCACTGAAGTGCCCTTGCTCTGTGTTGCTATTGTCAAAAAAGCTAACCACTTGTTTGAATTTTGTCATACTTGCCAATAATCCTTATCTTTGCAAATTGTTTTAATGAATATATTTAGGCTGTACAAAAATTAAAAAAAACAAAGTTGAGAGTTGCCCAAAATCGTGTTGTATTTTGATTCTCGCTGTGCATTTTGCTTGTGCCCTGTCACTTTCCGCCTAGAATAGAATGCCTAAGCACTGATTACTAGTTGCAACAGGGAGCTGTGTGTGTGTGACCGATGCCTGGACATGATGTGCTATAGAAGATCAACACATTACCGTAAAACATTGAATTGAAGCCCATCTCCCCTCTTTGGTTTGCAAAATTAGCCTCGAAAAGAAGCAAAATAAATTAAAAACATGCTTGATTGATACAGTAGTTTAGATGATTTAATGTCAGTTAATACGCTCTATGATACAGATTGATGTTTCATAGTACAAATAAAAAAGAAGCCCAGAGCTTCAATTCGAGGTTTTACGGTATGTTGTTACTAATAACAGCTATTGTCCTTGTAATGTAAAATTGTGTATGAAGTAGTACAATAGCGATAACAGTAAAATTTACAAAATAAGACCTCACTTGTATAAATATTTACATACAAGATCATTGAACATTGAGTTATTAATACAAATAAACAATTAATGAGACAGTATTGTATAATAATACAGTAGTAGAAATTGTTAGTGTGTTAGACACTTTTTATATATATTGATCATATTATAGATGTATACACTTTAGTTACTTACAATTAAGTGGAGCAGATTGAAGCTTCTTAAGGCACCTGGAAACATTTTAATTCTCATAATTAGTTTTGGGAATGGTCTGGACCCAATATTGTGAAGCTTCCAGTCTAATGGTGCAGGCTGAAAATGCAACAACAGAAAATTCATTCTCATTGAAATTCTTCTCAATCCTTATCAACACTTGGAAAGGTTATGAACCCTAGAGACATCATGTGGCTTCAAATCTAGTGGTGCAGGTTGAAACTTCTAGGGTAACAGGAGTCTTCTCAATCCTCATAATCAGACATAGAATTGTCACATACCTAACGGTAGATGTTCTGGGTTCAAATCCTGCATTATTCATATTGCAACTTATTTCCTTCTTTATTTTGTGATGTCATTGTAATATAGTATGAAATATAGTGTCGTTTTATAGCACCTTCTTTCTATGTATATATAAAATATAACATTTTACTCTAGTACCAGTTTAAAATGTACATTAAAATTTTAGTTTGTTTGATCAGCCATACCAGGTGCCATCATAATGATATTCAAATTGCAGTTAAAATTCATTTGAATATTCAAATACATTAGAATGTACTTCAGGATTACAAATCATTACTTATCATAATATAAGATTTTCATTTGTTGGAAAAGTTTTTAAGTATATGTATAAACATTTAATAAAAAATATATCATTTCAGTGTAGAACTAAACAATCAGTAAATATATTTTTTGTGTGGCTATTTCTTTAAATTAATCTAACAAAACTGTTTTATTAGATTGATAAACTAGATGAATCTGCTTACATTTTGATTAGCTTTTGGTTGTCAGGATAGAAGTTAGAATAAAGAACAGCAATGCTTGAATTATCTTAATTCCAGACCAGTTTAATAATTACATCCATTTTTCATGCTAACAAGGGCTGGACAGGTTTTAGTGACTGAATGTACATTTTTTCATGAGCTGAGTCCAATGCTATTATTATAAACTTTGTGTTTTGATCATTGTAAATGAGATATTATTGAGAGATAGTGAGTTGTTTTTTATAATTGTATTTTTGATTGAGGCTTTATTTTTCATATAAAATAGTCATTTGAAAGGCATTCTTTCGTTTGTAAAACCATGTTTTGTTCTATTTCTATTGTTAAATTTAAAAGAAATTACAATGTACTGTAGTTTAATTGTAGTGTTGTTCCACTTGTAATTGTTAATGTAACACATTAAAATGACTTTAATATCAAACATATTTTATCTTTTATTTCACTTGTTTCCTCCAATGAGGGCAGTATAATAGAGGCATTAGGGTAAAAATTAAAATTTAAGCAATTTGTTTTGACTGCCAATTGATAATATTGTGATCTAAAAACACATTTTGGACCACATTGAGCCATAAAAACTCTCCCCATGAACCCTACAAGGGAGTTTTATTCCGGGCCGTCGTCCAAGGCTTCATCGGCCATTTGACGGCAAATTTCTGGCACAACCGCTGTCCTAATGGCCACCCATACAAACAAGAGGGATCACTCACTGGTTCTTGCGTTAAATTGAGGTTACCGATATTCAGCGTTTAATTTTTTTTTTTTTTTATAAATGAACATTCTAAGATATTTGATAGCTGGTTGACAAACAAATTTCGAATGAGCTAATAAGATAAACATTTTTAAATTATTAGGACGTTCATTTGTACAAAATTGAAAAACAAGACCTTTGGTTCCTTACAACACATCGTTAATCGACTGCTCCATCCATGCCACGTGTGGTAATGGCAGTAATGTACAATCCTTGATGAAACCCTTGTTTTGTAGGTTTATGTCGCACCTTGGGGTTCAACCTAATAAAAGGGCCATGAATATTTGTTGGAAATCGCCTCTATGACCAAACTCACCCACTTAATAAGTTCATAACAATTAGTAAATCTGGCAGAATAATTCCAACTTTAAAACGTACTGTACTGTCATAAATACTCATTTTTACCATGTGCAATAAGAGCCTTTAACAAACCTTCAGTAGATAATCTCATCATCAAGCTTATCTAATGTATTTCACTATACTACATTCCATGCCATTTTGTAATAATACATTATTTGGGAAATGGGGGTTCGTTTTTTTGGCTAAGGGGTTCGCTGAGAAAAGGGGATTTGCCCGAACCCCTAAAAAACTCCCTGGCTATGGGCCTGGTATAACAAACATTTTTTTCCCTTCGGAGCCTGGCTTTAAGAATAAACTGTTAGTCCTAGTAATTAAATCATTTTTGTTTTTACTGAAATAAAGGAGTGAACGCTCTGGTATTAAGTAATGAATGGAATGAAGTGCATGTGAAAATAATTAAAAATTAAATAGTTAAAAAAAATGATGCCTTGAACTGATGTATTAAGCAGACAAGTGCCTTGGTAATTAATGTCCAATAAATATAACTGGCCCAAGATTTGCAGCCTGAAGCCTAACAACTTTTCCATCTGCTTCTCAGACTACTAACCATGTAATCTAACCAGGTTCTTCTTGATTATCTTCTGTGTCTGAGAGCTTCCCTGTAAGTTGTCTATGCACCAATTTAGTGTAGACCCCATCCAGCTTCAGTAATTGACTGTGAGTGCCTTGTTCAACAATCCTGCCACTATCCATTACTATGATCTTATCTGCACTTTCCACTGTACTCAGTCTATGTGCAATAATGAGAATAGTGGTTTCTTTTGTATGTCCATAAATAGCTTGTTGTACCTAACAGACAAGGAAAACATAGTGAGGAAAAACATTTACGTAAAACATAATTTATTTGAGTTCTCAATAAGAGAATTTTAAGCTATTATTGAACATATGGGAACCTTGGAGTGGTAGTAGTTTCAATTTACTTACCACATGTTCGCTTTCAGCATCCAAGGCACTCGTTGCCTCATCCAATAACATCAATTTTGGCTTCCTTATCAGAGCTCTGGCAATCGCTACTCTTTGTTTTTGGCCACCTGATCAAAATCATTAAGATTTCAAATTATCACACATCCAGGACTTAAAATATGAGGGCAAACCAAAATCCTCCATTCAGGAGCTAATTTCTTAGGAGAATGGCATTATACAGGCTACAAACACAGTTATAAACAGCTGTTAGAAATAATTTATAATATTAGGATATAAACAATAGTGAAACTCTGGTATTTATCCATCAACCTACCAGATAGTTGCGCTCCTTTTTCACCAGTTTGAGTCTCATAACCTTCCTTTAGATCGGTAATAAATTTATGAGCATTAGCAAGCTTTGCCGACAACTCAATCTCCTCCTGCTCATGTACATCAAGGCCATAGGCAATGTTTTCTGCAATTGATCGGGCAAAGAGAACGGGTTCCTGTCCAACCATAGCAACCTAGAAAAATCATACAAACTCGTCAATGACGAATTATGTTTGTTTCTTGTCTGTATTTCAATAATGATAATTAATATTAATCATACAAATAATACTTTTCTGTTTCTGTTTACTTTCGATTGCACAACACGGTATAACATAATGACGTCACTAAGAAGTCATTTATGCATGCGAGAACTTAAACTTCTTGTCGCATGGATTCTACTGTAGGACAGTGGTGGTGCCAGGATTTGCACAACAGGGGGCTGACTTCCTCGACGAAAAAAGTGGGAGTGGTCGAGCATCGCTCAAAATCTCTCAAATGTAATCCATGGGGGAAAAATACGACAATTTAGGTGTTTTAAAGGCTTAATCGATTTTGGGTCTACTAATTTATGTAGAAAATACATACTTTTTTTCTCCCTGACGAATTGTGGTTTTTCTCCCCGACTGGGCCCTGGCCTCCAGCCCCCACTAGCACCACTCCTGCTGTAGGACACAATTAACTAAATCTATGTTGCGCAGAGATCACGCCTGAGTGAATCCATTCTAGAGTCACATATATTTTAAAAGCACCCTAATAATAAAGCAAAGATAAATACAGGTGTAGGTTCTTTATAATGGCCTTTTCCCACCAAAAATATATTGTTATGACCATCATCATCATCATCCGTTTTCTGCCTACTAGCAGGTTCACAGCAGTTAAATCTGATTTTAAAAATTGTTATGACCATAAGAAGCATGAAAAAAAAGTGTTGGTGTTTTGTCTGGAACATCCACATCAATCTGCTAAGCTGTCTGACTAAAGATTTTGGGATTGTGGCAAATACCTTGGAATGCAGAAAGCTGTGGTCATAATCTTGAACAGGTACACCATCTAGGAGAATTTGACCTTCCTGTGGTTGGTAGAAACATTCGATGAGCGCTACACAAGAACTCTTGCCACTGCCACTGGATCCAACCAGTGCCACGACATCACCAGGTGAGATGGCAAATGATACATCCTGTGACAGGCAACATGAGTTATTAAATGGTTTTCTATATAATAGTAATTACAATGATATTAATTAGTGATTCATGTTGATAACAGTGGCAGATTCAAGGGGTGGGGCCCTACCAGTCTGGGGCCCCCTAAATTTTTCAAAATTGTAAAAAATTGGAGAAAAAAGAAAATTACATTTTAATTTTAAGTTTGAGAATGCCATTTCCAGCCTTCTAGAGGTGACATAATCATATATTTTCTTACCTCTGCCCCAACAATGGCAGGGCTGAGGTTGTATATACCCACCCCCACCCCCCACCATCTGTCAAAGTACTTCCCTGGGCCACCTCTATTTCAAATTCCTGGATCCGCCACTAGACAATAATGCTAATTTTTATAAGATTACATTCACGCTCATTATTATGAAGACGGTGATGATAATGATAATGACCTGTGATGTTGAGTAATGATGATGATAATGGATTATGATAATGACAATAACAAAAATATGAATTACAGTACAATACAAGTTAAAAAGCACATGAATGTGAAAAGAACAACAATAATAAAATCCACTTCAATCAATACACCAACCTCTAATATATTGGCATCCTTCCTTGACGGATATGCAAATGAAATGTTTTGGAATTCCAGATGCCCTTGAAGTTGGTCCGACGTGAAGACATTCTCGTATATATCCCTATCAGGCTCTCTGTCCAGCATCTCAAACACCTTCTCAGCCGCTCCTGCAGCCTGCATAAGGCCAGTGTAAACATCTGAGATATCCTGAGAGAAAGTAGCGAAATTTATATATCATATTGTTAGCATAACCATGACATATCAGTTATTGCCACTGAATAACATGGATTATTTTAAGTTTTAAACTGATGTTGATAATACCAGTGTTTAAGCTGTCATTAGCCAAATCCTAATTAAAGCTGAATTTTGCTGAATGTTTTCATCCAAAATCAGCCATTAAGCTAATGGAATTAAAGCTATTATTGCATATATTCTTTTGTTTTTTACTATTTAAATTTCTATTTGGCTAATTATTTTTATACCGAATTAGCCAAATTGTTAAATATTGGTTTTGGCCAGGTTAAACCCTGTAAATACACAATATTTATAAGTAAGTTTATTATGTGTAAACAAAAAAAAAAAAAAAAAAAAAACAGGTTTAACATGTGCCTATGTCTTTACTATTTTCTTGCTCCATGGTCTTTGATATCTGACTGCTAAGTCACATTCTCAAAGTGTATAAAATGTGTAACTGTATACTGTCATACCATACCATAAGAAAATACAGACCTCCAATGCGGTTTCCAACTCTATCTGGTAGAGGATAAATGAGACGAGATGACCAGCCTTCAGGTATCCATCTAATACAAGATGGCCACCTACAAACAATGTGACAACTGTAACAGACAAATCAAAAATCTGAAAAATAAACAGAATGTTAACAGGGAATCATAAGACCAATAGCATTGCAGTGGCAAATCAAGGATTTCAAATTAGAGGGGATCCAGTTAGGGATTTTTACATTGAATTTGAATCAAACTTTCTTCTTCGCCCACTTACATTCTCAAATATTTAGAGAAAATTAGCCTTTAATTTATTTGCATATCGCTTATTTTCCTGTCTCTCACAAGCGAAACTCCTTACAGTCTTCATCGATGATATCACTTCTTCGGCAACATTGTTAGCAACGGCAAGCGAATCTTGAACTGCTTTCGATAATTTCTGACAAAAAGAAAGCCTACAAACTTCAGAAATCTGTACTTCAGATGTAATTAATTATAACTATAGTGTTCGCTTTCTTACCCTCTAGTATGAGAACATTGCAATTAGTTTCGATAAGAGAACAAATATGTAGGATAATAAACAAAGGTAGGGTGCATGTTGTATAATATACCTCGGTTAGGGATAACTAATTATTAAATTTTAGAAATGCAGTCTGTAGATTATATCGTACTGATTTAAAGTAGAGAGGGCGCTATGTATATGGCGTCACGGAGCCATACAGTAAGTATAAGGCTTATGAGGGTCACAAGAACTGTAGGTCAGGAGAAATTGTGTAAAAGAGAGTATTTATCTATTGAAATGTAAATCTATGTATGGTATGTATCAGGTAGGTATTCCCTGGAACTCATTATAACAACCTGGGTGCCACGATATTTCCCTTCTTAGTGACCACCAATCACACCAAATTGGACTGCGTAGGATGATGATATAATTTATTAAACCTAGTGTTACATTACTGTGTCTATAGCCTTTGAAATAAGCATAATTATAATACAGAAGCTAAATTAATTAAATTAATATAATTATTTAAAATAATTACACGGATTACCTTGTAATATTTACCATAAATTTCAGACACCAATGCAATAATTGGAATAGCTAAGAGAGTTATCAGAGTTAATCGCCACGACAACCGCATCATCATCACAGTAAAACCGATAATCTTGACTAGGCTGCGCAGCAAAATGTTAAGGTTCAGTGACACGGTGTCACTCATGGTAGTGGTGTCAGAGGTAAGTCGTGAAGTAATATCTCCTAAAATAATAAAAATTAGATTTTGGAGTGGAACAGTAGCTGGAGGCTGTAGGATATATATTTTTTCTGTCCAACGGGGGAAGGGGGGGTCTGAATGCAGAGTGAGATAAGGATAGTTTGGGGAGCGGCGGCATCCCCAAACGCTGTAGGTCAGAGCTGGGGGAATGGTTTGGGAGGGGAATCCCCCTCCAAAATGCGATTTTTTTTTTCTTAAATAGGGACCAGACAGACATGTGTTAGCTTGGCATAGGCCTGTTTGTTTTTGGTCCGACTGCCTGACGAGCTCTGACTTTTAGGGGGGTCTTGACCTGTCCGATGGGGGATTAAACCCCCTGCCTCCCTGCCACTGCTGTAGTTTGATTATTAACGACTTGCCAATCTCATCAAAGGCCAGCAATACTTTACAAACACTTATGCTCTCTATCATACCTCAAATAATTAAGATTTAAAAGCAGCAAGCTAAATCATTGTTTCATAATGCCCCAAAGAATTTCTAAACAATTTACTTACCAGTATGTGTGAGATCAAAGAAGCCAATATCTTGTTTTGTGATTGAAGAAAACAGGAGGTTACGGACTCTAATATTCAGTCTTGCCATAGCAACTGTAAACAGGCCACCACGTATACCAGATGCAAGGGCACTGCAAAGATTAGTTTTTTAAAGCTCACTACATTTTGTACATTATACTCAATAATGTACAGCTGCAACTCAATATACGTTTTATGATGCATTTGCAATTCAACTTTTTCAATTATGAAAAATGGGGAAAAAAAAATATTTCTTTATAAAACTTTATTATTAAATATTATTGTTTGCTAAGAATCACTAATAGTACCTCAATTAAAAATTGTTATTGGTTTAATACTGATACCACAATAACATACCTTACAAATGATATAATGGACATAATAATGATAGCATTTGTAAACTCAGACTTGCTACGATCAACCACGATTCCATTGATAACTTCACCCGTATATAATGGAAGATAAATATCAGCTATTGGAAATAAAATCAAAGAAAAATCCAGAATTAGTAAAAAAAAAAGAATAACACTCAATAAAAGTTGTACAGAAACCTAAAAATGTAAATTAAAACATTTGGTGATTTGGTATATATGAAAGTAAAATTGAATTGCATTACTATGCACAACGTTACTTCATGCGACATGAATAAACTTCCTCTATTCATTTATTTTCCAATGTACATGAATATAAAGATGAAATTAAAATAATTACTGCTGTTAAGTGTGGTACAATTATATTAATATTAAAGTACTGTAATATTCAAATACGATAATAAATAATAAATTATATACCGTACTTATTCAAATAAACGCCACAGGGCATTGAGAAGGGTTTTTGAAGGGGCGCATATTCGAGAGAGGCGTTATCTTGAGGGAGGTGTTTATTTATTTTGGTGTAAAATGGATACGTATACACAAATAAACATCCCTTAATTTCACTGTAAATGTAGAACTACAAAACACTAATGTCAAAATGTGTAATTGTGTGATCCCAACCAGGTTAGAAGAAACGTAATTCTAGTGGAATACCTGTAGAACATAGATTAAATGTGTTAAGAATGATGTTGATTCCATTAGTTTTTTTTAGTGTCATTTTGGTGGGGGTGGGGGGAAAGTTCATTCGAGGAATATATAAACTGTAAACTCCCGGGAGGCATCTATTTGAGGGCTCAGTGATAATTTCAAATGAGGTTCTGGAGGGGGGGGGGGGGGGGGTTTTATTCAAAGCGGGGGGCTGTAATAACTTTACCAATAGACGCTCCAACAAGAGCTACAAATGCAAGCAAAATAATTGGTATATCAGGTTTTGAGTATGAGAAGAGTCTGAACAAAGATGCTCTTGAACCTTCCTCTTCGTCATCATCCTCCTCCTCTGCAGATGTTGATTGAGATGAAGATGATTCACTAGGTTCTTGAACTTCTACTGTAAAATTACTATGAGTGCCACTATCTTCATTTATCAGGAGTATTTGAGATTGTGTCTCACGAGGTTGATTCATAATCAATTGTAATAATCTCCAAAATATATATAACAATATTGAGGCAAGAATTGTCCATGAAAATAGCGTCCAGAACCATACATGGTGGGACAAATCCTTTACTCTCATAGAATATATTAGAAGTTTAACTACTGCATAGAAAATCATTGATCCCGCTAGCAATGTTATCAATGACTGAGATGTGTGTATTCGTCGTCTGCCATCATTAAGATTGAGAAACAGACCGAGACCAGCTCCTAGCATGATAGTCCCCCGTAGTATTCCTAGCAGACAAAGATCAACAAAGCTGGTGCTGAATGAGTCTGTGAATGCATGCGAGAGCAGTGCATTATTAAAGCCGTGTGAATAGAGAAATATGGTGAGAACAATATCAACAGTCCCTAACAAAGTCAGGCATAGTACTTTCCCTCGTAGAAATGCCATTGCCACATAAAATGACCACACTCTGCAAAAAGGAAATGACAAATTGTAAAAAAAAAATATAGTACTGTAACAATTCCCTGTTTAACTAAGCTACAAGCCTGCATTATTAAAATCACATACAATTTTTGGGGCACAATTTGTATCTGCAAAATTTTTAACTGGCGCGCAAATATGAGCTGGTTTTTTAGGTGGATGACACTAAAAAACCCGCACATATTTGCGCGGCAAATCGCTCGGAAACTAAGTGCGCAGAATCGTAATTGCTGTACATTGTTTACTGTATCAGGATTAGGCAAAGTCTAATTTTCGGCTAAATGTGTGCGGAAAACAGATTTCTAGGCCAAATTTGTGCGTGGAGGATATTTTCCCAGTGTACAGTAGGCCGTACTTTACAGTATGGGGGCACTCCCAAAAAAAGCTTGGACCTCCCACTCACATTAAAAAAGTTTCAAGCAAAAAGTAGTTAAAAATCACCTTATTTTGTGCACCACCAGTAATATGTGTGGAAATATTTTTCTGGGAGACTAAGCTGTCAGATGGGAGAGGGAGGGGGGTTGAAATAAGGATATGAAAATAAGATTTAAAAAAAAAAAATAGGGACCTCTTGATGGGCTGAATGAGACTCTGTGAGTGCCTTTTCTGGCCATCTATTGGCTTGCAGTAGGCCTATTTTAATAAATATTTGGGCCGAATGCTCGACAGGCTCTGGCGGCGGTGGGCTTGACCTTTCAGACGGGGGCTTAAGCACTCTGCTACAAAGCTGGCGCTAACTCCCCTTCACTCCACTGAACCCCCACCTCATTTCAAGACTTCCTCGGCCAGGGTCTAAACGAGGGTTGTTGTGGTGCTTCTAACATGATACAGATCCATGTTGCCAATGATTTGGCCTTTTTTTTAACATTTCTGAAAAGGGATGATCAAACAAATGTGCTGGTTTGTTGGTTGTACTTTGATTCAAAGTTAAGCTGAGAACTGTATCTGAAATGATTTACTCTTCCTTAAAACAGTAAAACGTGCAACGTATTTCGCAGCCAGTGATATTGTAGGCAGCTCCATTTGATTGGTTGAGAGTTTTACTTTAAGATAAGAAAGCCAACTGAACTTAACCCTGGTTCAGTGTGCCATTTTTAGTTTAGTGTTCGAATGTGTGTATAACAAAACCAATCCTATTTTAAGTACAGTAGGTGATGTATATTTAGCGAGAGAACTACAAATTAGGCTCATAGGGCCTAGGCCTATACATACATTTTTTAATTAGGCCCTATTCTATTCTTATAGGCAATATCACATGCCTATGCGTGATAATGGTCCTTAGGCGTGAGAGAGTGTGAAACGGACGTCGAATGCATGAGCCTTGGCATGTATGCACCAGGGAGCGAGATGTTACCTAGGCCTAGACTAGGCCCTTACTTAGGCTAGTTAGAGGCTAGGGGTAGGATTCGCCCTAGCCCACCACGTATTTTTTTAGACACTAGGCATTCATGCCTACCTACCTTCCTTTCTTTCTGAATGGAATCGTTGCCTTACTTAGTGATTCTTATCTTAGTGATTAAGTGTAGGCCCTACATCGGTTATTTATGGATTATCATAGACAAAAGGCATTGCGTTAGATTATGCAATACATACATACATACATGATACATACAATTTATGAAAACAAGTATTTGGTGGGATTACACAAGTCTGAAATAATAATGTTTACCTTCCTTGCCTTTCGGGCTTCCAATCTCGCTTCTCATCAAGGTGTCAATGTCCAAACGATCTTTGGTTGTATGACCAGCGATGCGAATCAAATTAGGCTCCTATGCTGGACTGGATGGGAAATTATGTTATGCTAAATTTTAAAATTTCAAAAAGAGACAGAGACATTTTGATTCAATGTTTCGATCTATTTGATCATTTTCAAGAATACTGATGAGAAAATCTCACCCATACAATATACCCATTCAATATTTACAGAAGTATACAGAAAACAAATAAAAACCGACCAATCAGATAAAAATCAAAGTTATATCTAGCCAATTAAAACGAGGTAATTAAATTGATTTAGCACAACTATTCTTAATGGTAATAGTAGAATATTTGTATATGGCCTTCGACAATAAAATCGTCTCGATGCGGAACAATGTCACTGCTACAAGCGGTGGCGCCAGAAATTTGCCGACGAGGGGTCCGACGTGACCGGCGGGGGTCCCAACCAAGGGATGGAATAAAAAAATCCCTGGTGGTTCATGGGAAGAGTTTTTATGGCTTAGGCCAAATAAAGAAAATTAACGTGTTGGCCACGCCCGACTGCCACCCAAAATGTTCGAAATTGACGGTCAGCATTTTGGTTTTTTTTTTTTTCTAACATAGAAAAATATTTTTTTAATGAGCTAAAAAGGCTGGAATAGGCCTATATCTAAATCCTGTTTTCCACTAGGCAAATTTATTCGCGTGAATCAAATCTTCGGTACGCTTTATGAGCTCTGATTGATTGCACATTTTTTTTGCTACGCAAAAAATTGATAGAAATGTGAATGCACATGCATATAAACTGACGCTTTCGATTCATGCAGGTAAATTTGCCTAGTGGAAAACCGGCTTTATGACGGTAGGCGATGCGACAATGTTATGCAATCGTTTTGCTCTTCAATATAGATTTAAAAATGGTCTTTGTTGTATTTTTGTGTATTTCTACTTTTTAGGCATAAACAATTTTTGGTAAAAAAAAATTAAATTAAAAAAAAAAATTTCCTACTGACCTACCATTTTTCGGATTTTTCCTATTAAATATATATTTTTGAACTTTTAGTAATTTAATTCTGATCACTGTAAGTTTATTGAATTTTTAAGAGCTAAATGTTATCCCAAGTGAGTAAAGTTTTCCATTTTCAAAGCAAAAGTAGAGTGACCTTTGTACAGTTTGCCATGGCGAAGACCAGGATGAGAGATAAAATATTAACATAGACTGTGTTTTGTATTTTCATTTATATCACAATGTATTGTTAATCAATAGCCTTATTGAAAAGCACATGTAATATTGTTATTTCAAAATCACACTAAAGTAAAAATCTATTATCAACTATTACTACTATTAATTAATTAATTATTAGTTTATTATTGTTATGGAGAAAGCAGGTATTTATTAAAGTGGGTAGCCTAGTTGCGGACCTAGAGTTAAAAACTTACAAACATGCTTAAAAGCTGATATAAAAATGTCGAAAAAGACCAAGCTCTGAGAAACTTCAAATGAATACTGCAGCATCGGAAGTACAGCAACGACAGGAATGGTATGTTAATTTCAATCAAACTGCATTGAAAGTATAAAAAAAAAATAAAAATATACTGGAAAATTAAGAAGATATCTAATTAATAAGCGTATGATACGGTACTGTATTAATTGGCAACTGAAACTGTATAAATTCAAACAAATACGGCCCGCGTATTGTTTACACTTTTATTTATTTATTTCAACACTAATAAGGGCCTAGGGGGTGCATTTAGCACAAGATTTTAGATTGGGTTAGTGTAGGTTTTTTTTTTACTTGTTTTTAATTTATTTGTATTCTTTTTATGTTTTTATTATTCATTTTATAAACAAGATTATTTTAAAAAAAATTTAACAGCCAAAGGTTGTTAAATTTGGATAATGTTAAGTGCTCCTTAAATTCAGTAATTATAAAGTGCGAGACCAAATATTTAGCTTTGGTGTCTACACAATGGTGTTCTCAATGTCAACGAATTCATCTATGCTATCACTCTAAGTAACGTAAGAGGCGACAATTATAATTGATATTGTGTTCATTTCAATTGTGTATTCTTTGATTTATTTTCAACAAAACTGAAAATGTTAATCAACACCTAATTATTATTGTTTAAATTTAAACAAATAAGGCTCGTGTAAAAGTAAAATGTCGGAGCTTCAAAGGACTTGGAAAGAGGAAAAGGAGAGTGTAGGGGAAAGGGATTACTACTTGGCAAGTTCCTGTAGTACCAGGATATACTGTCGAGGTTGGCATTGAGCATAAGGTTTTAGATTGGATTTTGCATTAGTGTATGTGTGTTTTTTTTAACTTGTTAATTTGGAGGTATTCATTTTATATTGTTATTATTTATTTGTTTCATTTTTATATAAACAAAATTATAATTTAAAAAAAGATTCCAATTTAATTTTTAAAAGACAACCAAAGGTTATTAAAATTGGATGTTAAGTGGTTCCTTAATTTTAGTAACATTGAGACCAAATGTTTAGTTTTGGGGTCTACACCTATGTTTTCAATGTCAATGAATTCATCTGTATCCCTCAAATAATGTATTAGGCAATAATTGCTGATTATTGTGTTCATTTCAATTGTGTATTCTTTAAATTATTTTAAACAAAAACTGAAAACGTTAATCAACACCTAAAATTGTTTAAATTAAACAAATACGGCTTGTGTGATGCTAAAACGTCGGGGCTTCCAGGGACTTGGAGCAAGGAAAAGGAGAGGAAAAGGGAAATCAAGTGGCAATTTCCTCTAGTATCAGGGTGTATGAGGTTGTTCACAATAGCAGCTAGGATACAAGATTTGAGATTCGATTTTGCATTTGTATAGGTGTTTTTTTTTTTTGGTTTTTTTTTTCATTTTCAATATATAGGTATTCTGTTTATTTTTTACTATTCATTTGATTAATTTTGATATTTTAACTTAAGGAATATATAAGAAGTAAACAAATGGCTGAACTGATATTTTGTGCATCTCATACTTTCTATACAAAACAGACGTCATAAATCATATAGGCCTGACCCAACTTGTGGACAATGGACATACTTTTGTCCAATATCCGAGTGCATTGAAAATATGACGACGATAATGTTGCCAAACCCCGAACCTTTACTCAGGCTACGGGCCTCGGTTGACACTTCACGTCAGAGGACCCGGTAATCAATCTTGCACATGAGCCTGTCATCACCTAGCTATGCTGCCGCCGCAGCCTCCTCCTCATTAATTAATTAATTAATTAATTTTTTATAGTACAGTAGGGTAAAGCTATTAATTTGGAGTGTATTCATTCATAGTTCAAGGGGTTAATTTTGCAACAAAAGCATGTGGACAGGATGTAACCATAGAGCAAAGGGACGATGTTCTATGATGTAACCATGGGATTCTATGGTTTGGTCAACTACTTATTAAGCAAAGTTCCCTCCAATCTCTGATTAACCGAACCACCACTTGCATTAAATACCATAAACATTTTTAAGTGTGCGAAATAATAAAACATACAACTCATGCGCGAGACTCGCGCATTATGCATGAGACTTGGCAACTGTAACATGCTAGAATGGTTCAGTACTCTCACCAAGTCAGTCACATTATTAATATCAATATTTCCAATACCTTATCTTTTGATAGTGCCTTGGGTGAGGCAGTATATTTTATTCATACAGTACTTAATATATGTAATAACATCATTACAATATCCCATGAGCACCATATACTATTTAAACAGTTTAATTTTTACAAGCAATAAATATTATTTGAAAGGTATGCTGAATTTTTATTAGTGTACTACTATACTAAACAATTTTCTTTCTATTTTGCTAAACATACATAACAATGCTGTACAATAGTCAAAAGTGCCAAATATAATAATAAAGGCTTAATTTCTTTCACTAATAATATCGAATTCAGAAATTCTATGAAAAAAAAAAACACTTGGAATTTTTTAAAATAATATAATTCTTTTGTAATCATTTTTTTTACGTAGACATTATGTAGTCAGATACAATGCTTAATTGAATCTGACTACTGGTCAATCCTACTGTGTTAAGTTTTATACAAACAAAGGAGCCACCAATAGGGGCGAAGACCAGGATCCCCTGTTGGGGAGAGCTAATCTAAATATTAAGAGAGCCCAATTTCCAAAAGGTTGGTTGTATAAAAAAAATGGTTGAGATTTCAGACATCCCAAGTTCCCAGAAATTTGCGGGTTTCGCAGATTTTTAAGGCGTTTCCCCGCTTCCCAGAATTTTTCCTTATTTTCCCCCAGAAAATGTATACTGTAATTTTCATTGTGAATACTAAAATGGCTCATAAGTGCATATTTTTTAATAATTAAACAACATTTTTCTCTTCCAAATAATTAGGTTACTTAATTTAAACAACTTAATGCCTTTGCATCACCACCTAAATTCAATAAAACATGAAAATGACTTATTTTTCCTATTGTTTGGACTTACAAAAAGCAAACTATTACTATTTCTGTTAAAATATTTGTAATGGCTTTTGGTAATGGCAAGACACACGTTGAATTAACATGTCATACATGTAGGTAATACACCAAAAAAATAACTCAGTTATTTCACTTCAATTAACGATATATTCCCAAGAAATTTCACTTCACCAATTTGGGACCTCTGAGATTTACCCACGTCCAGTAAAATACGGTGAGAAGCGATACTTCCCCAGCCAAAATATATTTTAAGTGTGTACTCCAGAATATCACCTTGACTCAAAAGACAAATTTATTTGCTTTAAGATAAAGTGGCAAACAAGTCAATGGTATTTATTATACTGTTAAATTAACCATCATTAATCCTACTCATAAAAGCCCCATAAAATTTCTTAATAAATTGCTAATCAAAGCAACTATCCAACTTTTGCTCCTTCATTAACCAAAAACAGTAAATTGGATACTAATAAAATAAATGAGGCATGTTGTAGCAAAAAATTAAAATTCAGGTTATTTTCAGTATGTAATCTGGAAAATGAGAGCCATTCATTGAAATTGGACATTTCAAGCCATAGTTATTGGGAAGTGAAAGTACAGCACTCTTGGAGTCAAGGTACAATTTTGAGTAATCGCCTTTCAAAGTTATTTGTGCATACATTGTATATAATAAAATTAACTACAAAAATAACAATAAATAAACAATTTGTTGATCATTTCCAAAACCAAGACTTTGGGACATGATTAATTAGACATTAAAATGTTGATCTATAGTGAAAAAATATATGGATTTTTAGACCATTTTTTGAACTCCCATATCTTAAAGCTCATTTACTCAATACTGGCTGTACGACAACTTAACCATTTTGCCATGATATGCCTCAAATATTTAGTGCTAAAAATTGATGCTCGTGCTAAAACAGGGGGCTGACTCATGCCCCTACTTGGGAATGCTAATTCCAAACCTCACCATATAAATACAGAGCCTTGCATTCTGATCTAAAAAGTGCTGAGGAACTACTACCGTATTGTATACAAATACACAAGTTGAAAGCAGATGCAAAGACACTGAAACAGGAGGGTGACTCAATACCTAATGCTTGAAGCCTGTGAAAAAAAAAATAATGTTTATTCCAAAAACATAAAATTGCCAATTTACAATAAATAATATTATAATAAATTTAAAAAATAAAATAAAAATGCTAAATGAAAGATTCTACAACTTTTCACATATTGTTAGACATAAATTGAGAAGCATGAATTAATTTCATATGGTTAAACTGTAATTTTTTGTGAATTAATTGAACTGAAGTGAGGTGAATGAACTTTTCCGCTAAGCTCCACCCCTAGATCTTGTTGCTAAGGTTCACAAAACGAGTGTCAAAACATGTGTTTGTAGCAGTGGCTGCGCTGGGATTTCCCCGACATGAAAGCCTCCCCGATGGGGGAACTGGAATAGTCCAATAGCCCCAGCTCTTAATTGCCTCGTGTCGATCACTGTCTTGTGAGAAGTTTATTAAATAACCAGAGC